CCAAAACTGTTGCCATTGAGTTGATTTGGACTATAGGACTACAGGACAGACCAGAACTGCCCCCGTAGGGTTTCCGAGGCTGTAAATCTTTACAGAAGCAGACTGCCACATCTTTCTCCTGCTGAACGGCTGGGGTTGGTGGGTTCAAACTGCTGAGCTTTTGGTTAGCAGTCTAATGCTTAACCAGTGTGCCCACAGGGCTCCTCCAATAAGATGGGTAGGTCTCCTAAGCTTAATACAAAGTTGGAAATTAAAGAGGAATTGTTAGGTGAGAATATTTAGCTTTAATCAGAAGATTAATTCAGGCCTGCAGATTGTGTGCTCAACTATGAAGAAAAACAAATTAAAGAACAAATGTAAAATACTGGAAATACACTGCTGAAAACTGTGTCCAAAGACAGATAAACTCTGTGATTCTCTGGAAAAGAGAATCCCATGTATAATGTGTAAGTCAATCATTTGACTTTTGCACATTTAACTTTCAGTTCTTTTTTTAAGGAAAGTATTATGTTTTAAAGTAGTAGATTGCCTACAGTCTTCTACTAATAACCAAAAACAGTTTAGTTCAACAACATTTACTGGGCATCTACTATGTTAGTATGATCAAGAACAGTCTCTATCTTCAAGGAGTTTGCGGTTTGGTTTGGGAAAAAAGAATGTCAATAAATGGATTATTTAAAACTCAGAGAAGAAAACAAGCAATAAAAAATATACAGGCTGCAAAACATTTTTACAAAATAAGATATGCAGTTTAATATAAAGACATCAAGCTTTTCCCCAAAAAATTATTTCTTACATGTGTGTATATATATACGTTTTATCTGATAGATACGAATTACCTTTCTTAAACTGTGTTTGTTTGGCTTACTTAGCTCATCTTTTAAGCTTATTTTGGTTAATGTAAAATTGGTATTAATGAAAATAAAAATTTAATATGCTTAGAATCTTATTTAGATGGGAGCTTTCAAAGGAGCAGGTATATAGTTGCAAAAGAATTACAATGAACTACTGAAATGGGGCAGTTGGACAGTTAATTCAAAGTAGGAACTCCCTCTCCTTGCGCTATCATATATGTTTGATTTAAAAATATATTTTAGGAATTTTGTCCTCAATAGGTTCATGCTACATTACTTAATGGTAGGGTCGGTGGCCTAAAGTGTGTTCTTTGGTAGAGAAATTAGCTTGTGAAAATGTACTGTGGGTGTGACATGGAGGAGTAGCCACAAATAGGAAGGAAATCAAGTAGTGATTACAAAACCATGTTTTATTTTTAAGGTGAAAGTTTTGCAATAAAGTGTATTTGCTGAAACAAAGGCTTTCTAGGGTGAAAGGAGTAGATGGCTTACTTTAATCTATTTCATTAGTACGTTATCATTTATTAATCTATTTGCTCTGGTACAGTAAATATAGCATAATAGCATTACACAATTAAGACACATGAGAAAAAGTTTATTTTTAGAAGGATTATTTTTTTTAAAAAAAGCTGCTGGTAAATTTGTTTTACTTGGTAGCTTATAAAAGCAATTTACCATGAACTTCTATTGATCTTAACTAAAATAAAATCTCAGTAAAGTGTAGTAACAGTCTCAAAGTTGTTGCATTGAATTATTTAAAAAAATTACTTAAGGATTGTTTAAACTATTTGCTAGGATGAACAGAAGAGTTGGAGAGTCTTTTAGTAGCTTGAAAGATTCAATCAGAAATTTGAATATTTACCTAGTTTCTATCATATATACAAGGTATTAAGCTAGATGCTGTCCTGTAATGTTAAATATTGTCTGTTTCTATAAGACAGCAACATTGTTCAAGGGAATGATGTATAGGTCCAATCTGCCTTCCAAAAATTTACTCAAGAATCTTTGAACTCTTCTAAAAGAACTGGGAACTTTATTGATCTCTACAATTTAAATCACTTAATGTTAGAAGGGATCTGAAAGATTTGGTACAATTTCCTCATTTTACTAATTAAAAAACTAAGCCTCAGAATAGAGTAGCAAAGCCTAGATTAGAAAAAATTCCAGCCTAGGGCTCTTTCTCTATGACTGTTTTCCCACTCTTCCCCAACATTTGATTCCTTATTATGTCCAAGGCCCAAACAATTTTAGGGGCACAGTTATACCTTTTGAGGGATTCACAGTCTAGTTTAATGGTGAAATGGCAGTGGACACATCTGGTGAATTACTGCTTTTTGAATTCTCAAGATGGTCCTACTGACAGCAGAATTCTTGTGATTTTAACTCCCTGGTTGAACAGCATCAGGCGGTATCGTATGGTAGAAGATCCATGGCCTCCGGAGTTGGACAGACCTAGCGGTGTGACTGCAAGATTCCTAAACTTTTGAGCCTCCATTTCCTCATCTGTAAAATGGGTCTAATAGCTAGCAAGGCTGTTTTGAAGATTAGTGATAATACATGTAAAGTGCCTAGCACAATGACTGGGACATAGTAGATACTCAAACAAATGGAGCTGTTACTATTACTATTACAAATGAATATAAACCTTCTAGCAGTGTCAGAGGGCCCTGGTGGTGCAGTGGTTAAGAGCTCGTCTGCTAACCAAAAGGTCGGCAGTTCGAATCTACCAGCTGCTTCTTGGAAACCCTATGGGACAGTTCTACTCTGTCCTGTAGGGTCGCAGAGACACAATAGGCTCTAAAACATTTGTACTCTCCTTCTGTGCTGTGTAAAGCTGAGATGGAGCTTGAATTAAATTAATAGTTACATAGCTGAACTGAAACAAACAGATACCGAGTGAACCTGCAGAGCTTTCGTGAACTGTGTAAATATGTGCTAAGTCTATAAAGAAGTGTTTTTTGTGTGTTTTGTGAATTTTCAGTATCATTATTTTAAAATGATGTATCAAACTTTGATCAAGATTAGAGTCTTAAACAGGCCTACAATTAAAGCTGAGATAAAAAAGAATGTCATTAACTTTGTATTTTACAGGTTTAGTCTTCTATAATGGAGTCCCTGGGTGGCGAAAACAGTTAAGCGCCTGACTATTATCCGAAAGGTTGGCAGTTTGAACCACCCAGAGACCCGCGGAAGACAGGCCTGGTGATCTGCTTCCCAAAGGTCACAGCTTTGAAAACCCCATGGAGCAGTTTTACTCTGTACACAGGGGGTCACCATGAGTCAGAATTAGCTCCACTGCAACTAACAACAACAATGTTCTATGAAATCATACAGGCTAATAAATCAATATTTTCTTTATAAAATATAAAATTACACTCAGTAAACAATTATAATTGACTAAATTATGGAAATATTACTATATTAAAAAATTTACATCCCAAATTAAAAAATAATTAGATGTTTTATAAAAGTGTTTGAACTAAATTTTTTAAATGGACTCAGTACTGTTAGAAATTAATTGATATAAAATTTATTAGCAATTACAAAGATAAAAAATGTATCTAAAAATATTGGTAGTTTTCCTTAAAAGAAAGACTAATAATGTAATATTTGATACATAAAAAAGTTCTTGAAATTTCAAGCATCTGTATCAAATAATGAAAGTAACAGAGGAAGACAGATAAGACACATCTAAGTCTCTCCAATGACAATTTCTTTCTTTTTTTTTTATTGTACTTCAGGTGAAGGCTTACAGAACAAATAGTTTCTCATGAAACAGAAGTACACATGTTGTTTTATAACATTGGTTAACAACCCCACAACATATCAACCCTCTAACTTCTCAACCTCTTTTTTTTTTTGGTGAAAATACACATAGCCAAAGATACACCATTTCAAAAATTTCATATGTACAGTTCAGTGACATTGACTACACTCTTTGAATTGTGCTGTTATTCTCACTTAAGATGAAGGCTTACAGAACAAAATAGTTTCTCATTTAACAGTTACTACAAATGTTGCCCTATGACAATGGTTAACAATCTCACAACACATCAACAATATCCTTACTCAACCTAGGGTTCCGTATCACCAGCTTCCTTGTCCCCTTCTGCTTTCTGGCCCTTCCAACGACAATTTCTTATAGAAAAATCTCTGAATAAAGATATGTGTGTGGGTGTGTATACACATATGTATATCTATCTGCTTCAATAGTTTCCTCATGTAATGCTTGTAGAAGGGTAGTTTTAATTTCCATAGTATAGTAACTGTCACTACAGAGCACAGTGGCCAACCTTGTTTCCAGTTACTTTCAATAAGCATTACTATGGTATATACAAGTTCATAAGAAAGTTGTGTCAAATTTGGTGACAGACCTAAACAGACAATAGACAAGTGGTAACTTCAGTGAAGAGTAGATGTACACAATACTGGGGAAGCAAGCACAACTTGTCCAAGGCAAGGTCATGGAAGCTCCACAGACACATCCAAGCTACCTGAGGGACCGAATTACTGGGCAGAGGGCTATGGGGACCATGGTCTCGAGGAATATCTAACTCAACTGGCATAACATAGTTTATAAAGAAAATGTTCTACGTTTTACTTTGGTGAGTAGCGTCTGGGGTCTTAAAAGCTTCTGAGTGGACACCTAAGATACTTCACTGGTCTCACCCTGTCTGGAGCAAAGGAGAATGAAGAAAACCAAAGACACAAAGGAAAGATTAGTCCCAAGGACTAATGGACCACATCTACCACGGCCTCAACCAGACTGAGTCCAGTACAACTAGATGGTGCCTGTCTACCACCACTGACTGCTCTGACAGGGATCAAAACAGAGAGTCCCGGACAGAGCTGGAGAAAAATGTAGAACAAAATCTAACTCAATAACAAAAAAAAAAGACCAGACTTACTGGTCTGACAGAGACTGGAGAAACCCTGAGAGTATGGCCTCCAGACACCCTTTTAGCTCAGTAATGAAGTCACTCCTGAGGCTCACCCTTCAGCCAAAGATTAGACAGACCCATAAAACAAAACGAGACTAAATGGGCAGACAAGGCCAGGGGCAAGGACGAGAGCGCAGGAGGGGACAGGAAAGCTGGTAAAAGGGAACCCAAGGTTGAGAAAGGGAGAGTGTTGACATGTTGTGGGGTTGTTATACAATGTCACAAAACAATATGGGTACTGTTTAATGAGAAGCTAGTTTGTTCCGTAAACCTTTATCTAAAGTACAATTTAAGAAAAAAAAAAAGGATTTTCTTCTGCATAAGGGATAAAAGTCTAAATTAATGGTGATGAAACAGTATGGGTAAAGATAGTGAGAATGGTGAAATGTGTAACCAATGTCATTGAATTGTATATGTAGAAATTGTGAATGGATATATGTTTGCTTGTGTATATTGCCACCAAAAATAAATGGAAAAAAAAAATTAGTGACAGGCAAAAAAAAAAAAGAATTGAAAGTGATCAGTACTAGAGATCATTTCTACCTTGACAGGACAGAGGTTAAAACAACGTTCCAGCTAAGTACAATTTTGTCACTGAACACAAACAAGAATTTAAACATTCAGAAGTCAAGCTTAATGTTCAGATTCCAGAAATTAACGCTTATGTTCCTTAACAGTAGTACTCTATAGGCTAATAAGACCCACAGCTATCTAAAATAAGACCTTCTAGCCCCAAATGAGCTTGTTTGGGATTTCTCCAAAAATTCGCAAATTTACAGAGTAAAACTACCTGATCCCAATTACTTTTGTAACTCACTACTTTTGAGTTTCTGCGTTGAATCCCATTGAAACTGCATTATAAAACTGGGACTAAAGATGTTATTGGCAAGAAGAAATAAGAACTTCATATGCCGTTGACTCAGTTTTCAACTCCAAGTTTAGATACTCTTGCTACATCAGTTTACCAATAAAAATCTTATAATTCTGATTATCATTACTGTAAAAATCTGGATAGACTTCTCCTTAATCTCCTTCTATATGTCAATGTTTTACTTCCTGTGACTAGATTATATAACTTTGAGGAAAATACAATCAATAAGTAAAACAAATTTAGTTGGGTCATTAGTCTGGGGAAATCTTTAAAATAATACAATAATTTTAATTACCATAATTATTATAATAATCATTATGCTGATTTTTTCTTCTTTAAAACAGGCCACAGGCTTTATCGGCATATTTTGATTGTAAGTAGAATAACTTATCTAGAGATCATGTGTCTAGCAAACTCAACAGTCTATAACACAATTACAACCTTAATAAAAAACCCCGGGTATACAAAGATATTCCAAAAGTCCATATTTCAAAGCATATACACTTAAGAAAGGCCTTTAATGAGAACATACACACTCATATTTTAAACAGAATTCTTCTAAGTATCTGTAACATAGTTTAGAACCTTAACAAAAAGCAAAACAGTTTGCCAGTTTACATACATTGCAAACAATCCATATAAATTTACAGAAAAGCCCCCCAGGCTCTCCCATGGGCATGCTATCTTTTATTTTAGACAGAATTCCTATGAACTTGGTTGTCTGGATTGATAGTCTGTAGCAAATCACAAGGGAAAGTGAAGAACTGGCTGAAGTAGGCACACTACCAACCTAACCTGACCATAAAAGCAGATGACAAAGGAGGTATAAGAACTGATACAAGATTTGAAAAACAGCAAGCTGGGGTCACTTAGTGAAGTCGGTAAACACGCCTCAACAGCTCCTTGAGACTTTGATATGTCTAGATGCATTACAATAGGTGAAATTCATAATGATGTCAATTACTTATTTGAAAAACATTAAAAATTACTAAGTATATTGCCTTAGAAAGTACAGAAATATGTATTTTGGAAATATTTCTATTGAAAATGGTTAAAATGAAATAAATTCTAGTGCTTGAAAAGGTAAGCTTTAACTATCTGGATAATCCATCTGTATGGATATTTCACTCATTTTCCAATAATGCAGAACAGAATGAGGTATATCACAATAACTCAAGGGCACAGAACTAATCAATTTATGTGTAAAATAATATGGTTCATCAGAATAAATGCAATGAGTTTAAAAATTACCATCAATTCCTTTATTTTCTAGATTATATTCTTCTAAACTTCCCTTTTCTCTTGTATTTGAATATGCTATAAAATCATGGACTTTTCCTTTTAGAACATCTAGTTCATTTTGCATCTTTAATATGCTATTATCATACTGAATTCCTTCAAGGGTTTTCTGCATCTCCATAATTTCAGATACTGCTTTTAGCATATCGTCTTCCATATTAAACATCTGCAGAGTCAAGTCTTCCATTTTCTTTTCTGTCCCTATTAGATCCTGAGAGACTCTGAGAACAGAGCGAATAGCACTTTCAATTGTTGGTAAATGTGTCTTGCATTCTTCAACTTTGGGTTCATACATGGCAAGTTTATTAGTCAAGTCTTCATCTCTGGCAAAGAGAGCATGCTGTTCCTCTTCTAACTCTTCAACTGCTTTTGTATCAGAGCCAAGCTGCTCCTCCACTCGGAGAAGATCCTCTTCTTCTTGTCTTTTTACTGTTCTAATATTTCTTAGTGTGCTATCTTCCAAATCTTTCAGTCTTTCAGTGAGCAATTTTATTCCTTGTTCAACCGAGTTAATTTGGACAGTAACTTGAGAATGCATATGCTTTGCTTCTGATTTGAAAGTGTCTGTATTAACATTCATTTCTTCTAGGCTTCTCTTCCAGAAATCTGTAACATTCTGGAATTTCTCATTAAGGCTTTGCATCTTCTGAGTGAGCATCTCTTCACTATCTTGAATGTCACGTAGGATGCTCTGGAGGCTGGACACTTCCTGCTCAAACTGGGTCACCAAAGACATGGATGATGTAGCTTCCTGCAGGATACTTTCAGTAGATTCGAGCTGCATTTATAACACAAAACAATTCCCAAGGCTACTTAATAACTGTTATATTAAAGAAACACACTAACAATCAGGAGCATAACATATGCCAAACTCAAAATTTGAAGATGTCTAAAATTTCCTAGTATACCGAATCATGACAAAAACATTTATTACATTAATAGTTGTTTTAACATATTTTAAACAAAATGAATAGATTAGCCGTTAGAAAAATATACACCTGAATTTATAAACCTACATAACTATGTATTTTCATGCACTCATATTCAAGAGATAAATCATGTTAAAGAAGCCTGCAGTCTATCACATTTCCCGCTTTTTTACTCCAACTAAGAGTAATTTAGGTGTCATTTTTATGGTTATTTGGCTTTTTAGAAACTGTGATTTAGTTATGAAATTTTTTACCTTTCCTAAATTCTATGATTCTGGAAGAGTGTTTTGATTGGAAACAAAGGTACTAGAGAAGGTACCAGAATCAGATCTTCTAGATACAGCAAAGGCAAAAACAAATTAAGAAACAGTTTAGTGTGACAATTCTCATCAAATGATAAAGTGTTCTAAGGATTCGTAAATTATGCTAAGCTCCTGGCATCTGCTATTATATAGGAAACCAGGAGGGCCAGGTTATGGACCATTTTTAGTCTACACCCACACACAGGTAACACCTTTAGAGACTATGGGGAGGCCTAGAAATGATCATTAATTTATCAAAAGTTTGCAGCACTATGTTGAGGATATAACAGTGAACAAGACATAGTTCTGCCTTTAACCAGCTTAGTTTAATTGGGGAGAAAGGCAAGTCTATATGCACCATGACAGGGGAAAAGCTATGAAAACACTTAAGTGGGGCACCCAACCCAGACTTCAATGATCAAGGAAAGTATTCTAGAGGCAGTATTATCAAATATTTGCTTCCAATAACTTCTTCTCTACATCATCCTACACATTACTACCAGATTAAGCTTTCCAAAACTGCTGTGCACACAGTACAGCTATACCACTGCTAAAAAGCAGGTGATGTTTCCTAATACTTCTGGGAAGAAGTACGAAATTCCATGGCCTCTCCATATGCTATTTACTTTCTCATCTCTGCTTAGCTAAGTTCTGTTCTTCAAGGTTTAGACTGAATCTCAGCTCTTCAGTACAACATTCTTCCATAGCTCTAGCCCTAACCGCCTGAACTCCTGTAACACATAATGTATTATGTTCTGCACATATTTTGCACTTAACAGATATAATTCAATAATTTTTGAGTGTTCACTCTTTGCCAGACCTTGTACTCGATACTGGATATAAAAAGATAAATACAGTAAAGCATGGTTCCTGACTTCACAATTTGACAGGCAAGATAGGAGAGACAGTGTTTTGGATATTTTACATCATCTTTTCTGGAGTCCCATTAAGATTTATTGAGTGCCTTTTGTTAGCTAGCTATCTTATTAGGTGCTGGGGATATAAAGACATGGTGTTTGCTCTAAAGAGCACTAGAAGAGATAAATTAACACCAACAACAAAAAATCACAATAGATTGTGACTAGTGTCACAACAGAATTAGCACAGGGAGCAATGGATGCTTACAGGACTGATAAAAAGTGGGGAGAGCAATGAGGAAAGGCTTAGAAGTGACTTTGAAATCTAACTCTTCAACAGACTGATGAGTTTACCAGGTGAGGAAGATGGGAAAGTTTCTAAACTCTTTAGGAGAAGAGACCATGTCTTATGCCCCCCCCCCCCTTTTTTTAATATCTTTGCATTTATTTTATAGTGAGGGACACATACTGCTGATAATATGTTAAATGGCACATGGCCATGGCATTAAATAGCACCAAACCCCATTAAGAGTCACCTTTTAAATTCACATTCAGTCCTCTGAATTAATTTCAAGGCAAAAGTCTCAGTTGGGTGCTACTCTGTCTCTCACACTTTCCTGCCACTTGCTCATCTTCCTTTTTAACCAAGAGGGACCAGGCTGCAAGAAAGAAGTTTGAGAGGCAAAGACAGCTGACCAGAACTTAGTATTTTCACTGGGAACATTTTTTTAATGGTTACTTTTATTTTGTGGCAAGTGATACTGATTTCCCATTCTGATGGTGATATCAAATGTCCTTGATACCAAACTGACTTGAGGAAAATGAATGTGTATGTTTAAAGGGACATATTAAGGCCTTAAAAGTACAGGTGGTGAGCAGGTTGGGCACAAGGTGTGAAGATGGAACTCACAGGACTGAATTCTGGACTTTTTCCCTTTAGCCTTCCCCTGTGCTGGCAACATAATGGAGGAAGAAAACATGTTCATGGCCCTAATTTCTTCCCCAGTGTCTGTCACCATGTGATACAGATCAGACAGAGAAGTAATTGCCAAAGACACTCTCATGGATTGAATTATGTCCCCCCAAAAATGTGTGTATCAGTTTGGCTGGGCCATGATTCCTGGTGCTGTGTGATTTTCCTATATGTTGTAAACCCTGCCTCTATGATGTTAATGAGGGAGGATGGGTGGCAGTTGCGATAGTAAGGCAGGACTGGATCTACAAGACTGGACTGTGTCCTGAGGCAATCTCTTGAGATATAAAACAGAGAAGTGAGCAGAGAGACAGGGGGACCTCACACCATCAAGAAAGCAGTGCCGGGAGCAGAGTGCGTCCTTTGGACCGGGGTCCCTGTGCAGAGAAGCTCCTAGTCTGGGGCAACACCAAAGAGAAGAAGGCCAACAGAGAGAGAAAGCCTTCTCCTGGTGCTGACACCCTGAATTTGGACTTTTAGCCTACTTTACTGTGAAGAGATAAATTTCTCTTTGTTAAAACCATCCACTTGTGGTATTTCTGTTATAGCAGCACTAGATAACTAAGACAGACATTTTAAAAATTAGGATGAAAAATCTTTTTCTTAGTTTTTGTCTTTCTTGGACTTCGTGCTCCTCTTATGCCTTTTTGGAGTCCCCATGTCTCAGGGTACAAAGAATGTGTTTGCTGATGTTTAAGAATAATGTCCACAAGCCTTCTGGGACCACCACAATTAAGATCTAAAGCAGCTCCAGGTGAAAGCTGGGAACAATGTGTAACAGTACTAATACAATGCGACCACTCCGAATTAAAAGCAAAGAATGTGAACATCTAGTCATAATACAAGTTCCTTTAAAAACCAATCTTGAGAAACAGCTGTACATTGGTAACACTGTTAGGTTTAGTTGTTTTATTAGCAGTATTTTGAAGGGGTATGCTTATCTTCACCTCAGGTAGTTTTTTGTTTAGGCTGTTTCCCATAACATCACTGTAATCTGGAGGCAGTATACCGTAAATACAAGATCAACTTTCTAGGATCAATAAAAGTCTCAACATTTAATCTGCAAATATTATGACTAGTATACCACAATAACTAGCTTTTATGCCGGGTTGCCAATATACTTCAATAGTTTTTACTTTTTAAAAAAGAGCGAATACCAAAAGTTTTTAGTGCTTGACAGTTTTCAAAGTGTTTGCACAAACATTCCATCTCATTTGATCCCTATAAAAATCTTGTTATTCTCATTTATGGAGCCCTTGTGGCACAGTGGTTAAGCGCTCAAATGCTAACAGAAAGGTCGGTGGTTTGAACCCACCAGCCGCTCCATGGGAAACAGACGTGGCAGTCTGCTTCTGTAAAGATTTACAGCCTTGGAAACCCTATGGGGCAGTTCTACTCTGTCCTATAGGGTCTTTATGAGTCGGAATCGACTCAATGGCAACAGGCATTCTCATTTAATAAATGATGAAATGGAGGCAATGAAGTGATTTGGAGTGATTTGTCCAGGGTCACTCAGTTGTTATGAGAGCCCATGTCTAGTCACCCCCCGACCCGCACTGCTTTTAGGTCTGGCTTTGGTGAAAAAGGCAGCTATTGTTAAATTACTCCCAGGGAAGACTGGGAGAGAAACAGCTATGCAAACACTAGCTATTTTTTGGATCCTATGATAATACTTAAAAAATCTGCTTCCAAAAGCACTGTAGTTTTCACCAATTTTTCTGTTTAGAAATCTAATTTTGTTCGAAATTTGTTTTCAACTGCTTTTAATCAAGTATACCTGAAGTTTTCAGCTCCTGCAATTTTTGTATCAGTCATGTTCTCTCCCATTAGAGTAACCCAACAACTACAACCAGATTCCAACTTGAGCCCTACATCAAAATATTAACTCCCTGAAGCACCTTCCCAGAGACTCCTAAGTTTATCCTCCATGGAATCCCCTGGCATTTGCTGAAGGATGCATATCATCCACAGCTGTTCTCTTCTGGGAGATTATAACTCATCCTGTGTATAAGGCTGCAGGGATACAGGCCCTCTTGTCTGTGGTCTTCTATACTGTATCTATTTGTACAACATACTTGCCCACTTGGTGCTAAGCACAAGTCTTAAGTCTTTGTCTACGTTAGGACAGAAGCAAAGGTTTAGTGAATGAATAAATGAACAAAGCATGTTTCCCAAAGATAGCTCAGTCACTGGTAGCCAGACAATGCCCATTATTGATTGCAGCTGACCCCCTCCTGAGAGGTATGGGAGTTACAGAAATTTTTATCTGTCTCCCATTTCTAAGAATCACGGTAATAATGCATTTGGTGGAAATTAGCATTTGTAGCTTTAAGAAACATAATATAAATACGGATGTTATTTTAATTTTCAGCAGGACTATTATTTGGTTATAGAATCAATACTTATGTTAGTCATTCTTATTGAATATGTATATATGCTTACAAAATGGAAAATAAAGAAAACCGTTGATGGATCTTTTCCCAATAAATGCTATTTATATTCTAATTTTATATCTAATGATAAAGCCTATTTTCAATTCTCTAGACACCTGATAGGCGCTCTGGTGGTGCAGTGGTTATGTGCTCAGCTGTTAACTGAAAGGTAGGCGGTTTGAACCCACCAGCTGCTTTGTAGGAGAAAGATGTGGCAGTTTGCTTCCGTAAAGATTATACCTTTGGAAACCCTGTAGGGCAGTTCTACTCTGTCCTATAGGGTCATTACGAGTTGGAAATGACTTGACAGCAATGGATTTGGTTTTGTTTTTTTAGACATCTGATATTTAAATAGAAAATTAAGATCAAGTCAATATGAGCATATTTGCCTTGTTCTTTCAAAATACAGTTAGAGTCTAAAAGGAAGGAAGAATGTTAGGAGATAGCAAGACCAGTGAGAGTTAAAATAATAATGGTCTAAAAGGCAGGATCAAAGAAGTTATGAACTGGAGGTGGTAGTAGGGAAGGTGGTAGTGGGGAAGAAAAACGGGAAAATTTCCCCAAATAATTCAATTAATAATTACCTTTTCTGAAATTAAACTGATTTTACTTTGAAGTCCTTGGAACTCGTTGGTTTCTATTTTCAGCAGCTGGTATTGGTTTTCCACCTCTGCAAACTTTTCAGACTGCTGAAATACAAACCTAGAAAAGAAAAAAAAACTCTAAAATGCCTAAATTGTATCCATTTAAATTTGAATCTTAAAGGAATATTATACCAATTTCTGATAAGAATAACATAAATTCTAGTATTGGTAGCTGATAGCTGCAGCTTTTATCAGTTTATTGTAACAAATATTTACAGAACCTACTATGTGGTAGGAGTTCCTGGGTGGTGCAAATGGTTAACCCACTTGGCTGCTAACAGAAAGGCTGGCAGTTTGAGTCCACCCTGAGGCACCCTGGAAGAAAGGCCAGGTGATCTACTTACAAAAAATTAACCATTGAAAACCCTATGGAGTACAGGTCTACTCTGACACACATGGAGTCACCATGAGTTGGAATTGACTCGATGGTAACCAGTAACTAACTACATTGTAGTATTGGTTTAACTGTACCACTCAGGCAAAGATGAGTAAAACATGGCCCCTATTTACAGTTCACAGCCCGGTGTGTAAGATGGTGAGAAATCTGCAACAATAGATGTCTTCTCAAGAAGTATTTCAGAGGCAGAAATGATAAATTATTTAGAACAAGATCTTTGATGTCTACGAATATTTTTCTCAAGGCTATATTTGGGCAATATCTAAAAAGGAAGCTTTTATCTCTAAAAAATGTTTTTACACTAAAATGTAGAAGTAACAGAAAACTAATGAAAAGCAGTGGAGTAGAAAGAGAGAAGTGCTGATAACTAAAAGTTGCAAAATGAACAGAAGAGTCAACATTATGAAAACAGACATTGTCAAAGTGACAATAAAACACATATGCATGCAAAATCTATAATCTGTATCTGATTATACTCAACAATACTACTCATATGGAGTACATTAGATGCATTACACGTGGACCTTGCCAGATGGAATACACAAGAATCAAACTGACTACATCTGTGGAGATGATGGAAAAGCTCAGTATCATCAGTCAGAACCGGGCCAGGGGCTGCCTGCAGAACAGAGCATCAATTGCTTATATTCAAGTTGAAACTGAAGAAAATTAGAACAAGTCCACTGTCTTAGGCTGGGTTCTCTAGAGAAGTAAAACCAGTAAAGTGTATAAATATATATACAGAGAGATTTATATCAAAGAAACAGCTCACATGATTGTGGAAGCTGGAACATCCCAAGTCCATAGATTAGGATAGAGGCTTCTACTGATTCATGTAGCCACAAGGGCTGGTGAACCCAAGATCAGCAGGTCGGAGAGCAGGGCTCCGCTCACAAGCTGTGAAGATTGATGAATCCCAAGATCGGCAGATAAGCTGATAGCTCAAGTCCGAAGAAATGGAGGTCAGATGAACGTGAGGCAGCTGCAGGATCCAAAGCGAGCAAAAAGCCAGAATGTCTGCACATATTCAGATGCAGCACATCCCCAAGGAAACTCGCTTTCAACTGATTGGCTACTCACAGCAGATTCAATCATGGGAGTAATCATATACAAACGCTGAGAATCATGGCCCAGCTAAGTTGACGCACAATCTTAACTGTCACACATCCACGAGAACCAAAGTATGACCCTGAATATATCCCACCTGCATTTACAGATCATCTTAAAAATAGATTTGATGCATTGAACACTAATGACCAAAGACCAGATGAGTTGTGGAAGGACATCAAGGACATCATATATGAAGAAAGCAAGAAGTCATTAAAAAGGCAGGGAGAAAGAAAAGACCAAAATGGATGTCAGAAGAGACTCTGAAACTTGCTCTTGAACATCAAGTAGCTAAAGCAAAAGGAAGAAATGATGAAGTAAAAGAACTAAACAGATGATTTCAAAGGGTGGTTTGAGAAAACAAAGTAAATTATTATAATGACACATGCAAAGAACTGGAGATAGATAACCAAAAGGGAAGAACATGTTTGGCATTTCTCAAGCTAAAAAAACTGAAGAAAAAATTCAAGCCTCGAGTTGCAATACTGAAGGATTCTACGGGGGAAGATATTATTAAAAGACACAGGAAGCATCAAAAGAAGATGGAAAGAATACACAGAGTCATTATACCAAAAAGAATTGGTTGACATTCAACCATTTCAGGAGGCAGCATATGATCAGGAACTGATGATACTGAAGAAAGAAGTCTAAGCTGCACTGAAGGCACTGGCGAAAAACAAGGCTCCAGGAGTTGACGGAATACCAATTGATGTGTTTCAACAAACGGATGCGGCGCTGGAAGCGCTCATTCATCTATACCAAGAAATCTGGAAGACAGCCACCTGGCCAACCAACTGAAAGAGATTCATATTTGCGCCTATTCCCAAGAAACGTGATCCAACCGAATGCAGAAATTATTGAACAATATCATTAATATCACACACAAGTAAAATTTTGCTGAAGATCATTCAAAAGCGGCTGCAGCAATATATCAACAGGGAGCCGCCAGAAATTCAAGCTGGATTCAGAAGATGATGTGGAACAAGGGATATCATTGCTGATGTTAGATGGATCCTGGCTGAAAGCAGAGAATACCAGAAAAATGTTTACCTGTGTTTTATGCAAAGGGATTCGACTGTGTGGATCATAACAAATTATGGATAACATTGTGAAGAATGGGAATTCCAGAACACTTAATTGTGCTCATGAGGAAACTGTACATAGATCAAGAGACAGTCATTCAAACAGAACAGGGGGATATTGCATGGTTTAAAGTCCTGAAAGGTGTGTGTCAGGGTTGTATCCTTTCACCATACCTATTCAAACTGTATGCTGAGCAAATAATCTGAGAAACTGGACTCTGTGAAGAAGAATGGGGCATCAAGATTGGAGGAAGAGGGACATCTGGGCAACCTGGTGCTGTAGTCAGAAGCACCATGCCATCCCTCTGCAGCAGAGATCAGAAAAACTAAGTCAGAGTCACACGTCAATCCCTAAACCCTAAGCATCAAATGAAGAGACAAAGAACTCAGCCAAGCACCAAATGGAATAAGAAACTGACCGAGAACAGAGAGCGAGGAGCGATACATGCACAGGTCCCCTATCAGCTACCGCACCACGGATCCACCATCTTGGACTCCTGAGATCAGTGAACAGAGGGTATGAGAAAGCAAATTCACGGAGCTCCCAGCAGGAGACAGAACAACCGGTAACCAGTGATACAGGCTTTCCCACCCCCCATCCTTCTTCAACCCCACTTAGCCTCTTCTGCTTCCTGCAGCCACAGTCTCCTGGACGGGAAGCATCCCAGTGTTGCCTGGATTCCACCCGCCCACACTGTCCGGCTCCCTGAGTGCCTTTTGTTGGCTGCTGGTGTTACTTTTTTCCCACTTCTTTAGATTTCTTCCTTACTTCTCACCACTTCCCCATCCTTTCTCTCAAATACCTGGCTCCGTGCGCCATCTTGGCTTCTTCCTGAAAGGCTGCGAAACACCAGTTGACTCTGAAACTGCTTCCCAGCCTGTGCCGCCATGCTGTTAGGACCCCGAGGCTTTTTTGTTTGCTCTGATTAGTTCTGTTTGGATTTGTTTGTTTGTTTTCTTTTTCTTTTCTCGACTTGGGAGCCCCTTCTAGCCAGGCAGTACCGTGCAGCTTGGAAGCTACTCCCTTACTCTGCACAGCAGCACAGGAACATCCCTGGGGGAATTTCTTTTTTCTTGTTTTTTTTTGTTTTTGTTTTGGTTTTGTTTCTTTGTTTTGTTTCTTTTTCTCTCTCTTATTTCCTTTTTGTCTTTCTTCATTTCCAGTTTCTCGATTTATTCATTTTTTCTTTTACCCTTTTTCTTTTTGTTTTTCCTTATTTCTCAGTCTCTCAACTCTCCACTCCAACAGCATCCTCCCTTAGCACTCTTTTTTGTGTGTATATTTTTGGCTCCTGTTCCTCTCTCCTCTCTCTCTTCTTTCCCATACCCATTTTAGCTCCACACATCACCATCTACCCCCTCCTTCCTGCCTACCTGCACTGTGCGCTGAACATCACACTCCCACGCAGCACAGGCAAGGCCTACTGGAACCTACCTTGCACTGATTCCCGGTCTGCACTGTCAGCCCTGGTACATGCCACAAACAACCCATCCCAGCAAACTCCCCTTCAGCTGGACCTGCCATGCTGTACCATACCTGAGTGACTGACCCTGCCCACTAGAGGAGGTGAAAAGTATCGTGCCCACAGACGAATAAACAACAAAGAACGCACAGTCCGCCTGTTCAGACATAACCAAACAAAACAAAAAAGCAGGATGAAACAAACAAATCTACAATCAATAAACGAGGAAAATAACTGCTGAATGCCCCAAAGACAGCAGACAATATCAAAACATTCACAAAAACAGGAAAGGATGGTTCCAGTAGGCGTTGAAAATAAAACACCAAATGATCTTCCAGTAGAAGAAAAGGCACTAGATCTAACTGATAGGGAATTCAAATCTGTAATATTTAGAATTATCCAAGAGTTGAGGCAAAAAGCAGACAAAAATGAGGAAAAAATAGACAAATTCATGGAAAATACAGAAAAAAAATGGAAGAATACAAGAAATTAATACAGGAACAAAGGTAAAATAAATTCACAATTAGAAACCAAACAAAAACAACAATTAGAAATCCAAAAGATAAACAACAAGATTTCAGAAATGGACAGTGTCATAGAAGGGCTGAGGAGCAGGTTTGAAACGACAGAAGATAGGATCAGCAAAATTGAAGACGAACACTTGGATACAATTTTGTATGAGGAAAAATCAGAAAAAAGAACAAAGAAAAATGAAGCAACCCAGAGAATTACGTGGGATACAATCAAAAGCAAAAATCTGTGAGTGATCAGAGTTCCAGAACAGGGGGAGAAAACAGAAAAC